ACGCTCTTCTACTTGGCCCCAAAGCTGTTTAGTATTTAATTAACAACTTTAAAATGCTACTGAAGACCTTCATGGTTTGCCAAATGACAGGCGGCTGTAGATTCATAGCTAATATTAAAAAGAAATCACACGTACGAAGTGAATCCATACATATCTAAGTGGACATAAATGTTTCCTTGTATTGATTTCTCAAGAATCATTACTTGGCAGAATGTGTGTGGCACTCCTGAACCTCACTATTGATAGATGCCATCTAGTGGTGAGAAGTAGCGGTTGCTCACAGGTAATCCAACTTACATGAGACTTACATTGTTATTGCTTATTTTATAAAATGTAAAACATACTGGTTAAGGAGTAGTATGTCCCAACCAGGAATAAAATCGGAGGATGAAGAGGGGACCCTGAAATCTTCTGTGGTGTGGAATAGGAAAAGCGGTCCTGTTATTGCATCATGTGCTGTCTTACTTGGCCATCAACTTCAGCCTCGACTCAGGCAGAGGAAATGATGATCACTGGATTGGCCCCTGTCATGTTTTCTGCACTCAGAGGTATCACTCACCTCTGTTCTCAGGGGCTGATCACCCACCCTACCTTAGGAGATGAGGGAATGGAAGTTTAAGCTGTTACTTATGTATACAGCTGAGTGTCTGAAAGCTACACCCTCAGCTGTTGAGACTCTGAGGGTTGGGGTGATGGTGAAGACTCTTCTAGGGTGACATGTAGCTTCTGCTCTTCCTTCCTCCTGCCCTGTACAGAGGCAGAGGGGCCTCAAACACCTCTGAGGGCAGTTGGCCCTCTTGCTGGGTTGCAGGCCAGGCCTGAAGACACTGGATTAGCAATTGTAAGGAGCTTGGGCCAAGAGTTTGAATCATCAGAAAAGAAATCATCACCCAAGCTGGAAGTCTTAGAAGTCCATGGGATGGGTACATGGAACATCTGTGAAATATGCAATTAAGACCAGGAAATCTTTGTCTGCTGAAAGATACCCATCAGTCACGGAGGTTTTTGTTGTTGTTACTTTTTTTTTTTTCTTTTTTTTGAGACAGGATCTCACTCAGTAGCCCAGGCATGCCTGCAACTAACTATGCAGTCCAGGCTGGCCTAGGGCTTGCAGCAATCTTCCTGCCTCAGTCTCCCAAGTGCAGGATTACAGGTGTCAGCCATTATGCCCAACTTTTTGCATCTTTCTGGGTCCCAGTGGTGATCTCTGATACAAGCTAAGTTCACAGTTACATTTTAATTATCTTTTCACAGCTTAGATCTGCTTCCTGCAGAAATCCAGCTAGGTTTGCTCTTCCTGGGGGCAGCTGCCTCCATACTTGAAGGAGATTGTCTTCTGTTGTCCCCAGAGTGGCCCTGGCAGAGCTGAGGCTTTTAGTAGGTGGCATTCTTGGTCTCCTGGGATAGTATAGACATTATGCCATGCAATGGCAATTAGCACATGATCCCATGATACATTTCTCTCTTGGTTTTCACTTCAAGGGGACGTAGGCTTTGTTTTGGTCAGGACTAGTAGTATATCACATGTCCAGGGCAAGAAGCCAATTGTGTGTGTGTGTGTGTGTGTGTGTGTGTGTGTGTGTGTGTGTGTGTGTGTGTGTATGTTTGTCTGCCTATCTGTCTGAGAGGGTGTGTGCATACCACTGTATACTTGTAGATGCCAGAGGACAACTTTGTGGAGTCAATTCTCTCCTTCCATTTTTACTTGGGTTCTGGGGATCAAACAGGTCACCAGGCTCATTCCAAGGGCTTTACCTACTGATTCATTTCCCCAGCCACCGAAGCTACTTCTTTAAAACCTTATTGTGGCTGAAGAGATGGCTCAGTGGTTAAGACCTCTTTTAAAGGTCCTGAGTCCAATTCCCAGCACTCACATGGCCAGTCACAACTGTCTAGAACTGTAGTCCCATACAAAGCAATGCTCTCTTCTAGTGTATAAATGTACAGGCAGGTAAACCATCCGTAAACATAAAATACATAAATAGATACATCTTTGCTAGGGGTGGTGATAGAGCCAAGCATTCTGTCGTGAGAGGCTTCTCCTGTGGAAGACAGGGGAGGCATTGCCACGGGCTGAACACATGGGAGGACAGCCCTCCATCCCAAGCAAACAGGCCCAGCAGAGAAGAGTGACATGTATGTGTGTGTTGCATAAGCAGAGACACCACACCAGGCCAGAGGGCATGGCTGCTTCCCAGGCCGGCCCTGTGCCATGTCTCTGGGTTCCCTAGTCACTGGCACCGTGTCTTTATCTCCTCCTGTTTTCATTTTCTCTTTTTTTTTCTGGAGCTGAAGGTGCAGCTCCGAGCTTTACTCACGTCAGGCAAGCGCACTTCAGCCACGCTCTGCCGCCGCCAGTTCTCTTTCCTTCCCCATCTGACGGCTTTGGCACAGCCGCTGCCGACTTCCCCAAGGTTGGTCTGCACGTACCAGCTCTTCTCGTGGGTGCCAGGGCACCCACCTGCTCTCAAACTGCTCCCTGTCCCGAAGCCTCAGATGGTGGCCAACAGATCCTTGGTTCTAACTAACATCAGGCCCTAAACTGTGTATAAAGTCAATGCCTGTTTGTTGCAAATTATGAATATTCATTTGGCATAAAGAGCAAAAGTGTTAACAGGAAGGTTGTAGTAGAAAGGGGAAGGAGGGAATAAAGGTGGGGCTCTACATCTTCCATACGTTAGCCACTGACTTTTACTACCATGTATGCATCCTTGGAGGCTGAATCTTGTGGCTTGTTAAGGGAATTAAACAGGCTTTCCTGAGTTAAAAGGTAAGCAGATACAAGCAGCAGGAAGGTTAGCTGGCACCCTCAGCTCCTTGGATTGGCTGGCGTATCTTTGTCCTTTTCATTTTTCTTAGACTGTTTAGGAATTACTTCAGCAGAACTCACAAGTGTGGGAGAATTGGAGAGTAAAGATCCCTAGAGCCTGTTTCCTTAGACACCCCTGAGCACAGAAGAATTCCCAGGGTAATGAGGTCTTTGAAGGGCAGGGAGGGAGGCTTAGGGGAGAGTGAATGGGAGATGATGAACCTATGGTAGCTCATACTAGGCTTCAGAGGCATAAGTGATTGCTTGCATTCATGTATGTGTACTACATGAGTGCAATGCCCAGAGAGGCCAGAAGAGGGCTTCTGATCCTCTGGAGTTACAGATGTTTGTAAGATGCCATTGGAAGCTGGAGACCAAAGCCAAGTCCTCTGCAGAAGCAGTGAGCGCTCTCTCTCTCTCTCTCTCTCTCTCTCTCTCTCTCTCTCTCTCTCTCTCTCTCTCTCTCTTTTGGTTTTTCGAGGAATCTGGCTCACACTGGCTTTAGACAAGCTCAACCGCATACTTCGTGGTTGGTATTTTTCTTTGAAACTTCAGCAATCTTCAAACCTTTGCTAGAAAGGGCATTTTTATTTTCCTTTCTTATAAGATACCCTGAGCCCATGGCCATGCACTGCCCTCCTCACGGGTGTTGTATCCCACAGTGCCTGCCCGGAGTTTAATCTGCACATCCCCCCCAAAGCAACAGAGCAGAGGCTGGTTAAAAAAAAAAAAAAAAAAAAAAAAGCTTTCCAGGAAGCACAGTAGCATAGGTCATTTATCAGGATCCATGTTTGTTGAATGCATACACAACCTTGCAAACGCTAAGTATGAGAAAACCATTGAGAAAGATCTCAAAATCTGGAGATCTCAGGAGTGGTGCCATATACAGGTCGCTGACATGTTTTACCAGGCCAATTCCTACGCATTACACCTGTACTATAAAATTATATATAAAGGGTTGGACAATGTGTACGCAGAGAAATACAACGTGGGTGGGAACCCACTCTGTTTAAACTTTACCAGGGTGTGAGTGCGTAGTAGGAAGCACTGCAAGGAAGGAGAAATAACATTATAACATTATCTTTCCCCGGGAGAAGCTCAAAGTCCCGATCAAACCAGATCGAGACTCTGGGGACACAAGGTGAAGCCGGCTCGGGAAATCCTACCACCTGCACCTGCTCACTTAGGTCACCTCGCGCCGGTGCATCTCAAAATTGGGCCCAACCCAGGTCTCCTGCAGGCAGCCGTAGGTAGGTGAAGCTTCCTGGGGGAAAGACAAGGCCTGAACACTGAGTGCAGGCGTTTCCGGCAGGCGAGGACCAACTCGAGCATCGGCCAGGTGCCCCGGCCCGCGCACAAACTGCGGCTTGGACTTTTGCGTCAAGTGCGTCCCCAGGGCTTCGCCGCGCTGTGGCGACCGTCAGGAAGCCAGGCAGGGTGAGAACTTGCGGGGCTGAGAGTCCACACCCGGAGAGCACGGGTCACTCCGAGGGTCACCTCCACCTTCCCCCCTACCCCCGCCAATCCCCCGCAGGCCGGGGCCTCGCGCTCTCGGCCACCAGTCAATTGCTCTCCAAGGACGCTCGCGCGCGCCCGACAGCAACGGGCGAGTCTGGCCAGGAGGCGCGCCAATGGGCGTGGGCGGAGTGCTCGAGGCGGGGCCTGTCCTGTTGGCCAATGGGCGTGGGCGGAGTTCCAGGGGCGGGGACTCTCCGGACACCGGCCAATGAAAGGGGCTGGAGCGCACGGGGTGGGGCCTGTCGGAGCACTGGCCAATAGGCGGGGGCGGAGC